ATAAATTAAAGATGATCTGTGAAAGTTGGAAATGTTGATGATCATAGATGAAATATTTAAAGATTTACAAATTTATACTTTAATGTTATCAGGTTTTAGAAGAATACATTAGGGATGTTCTCTGAGAGTTGGAAATGTTGATGACTGTAGCTATCATGAAGTATTCAAAGATGTACAAATTATACTTTAATATCACCAGGTTTTAGAAGAGTAAATTAGGAGTGTTCTGTTGTGAGAATTGAAATACTGATGCTTAGCAAACTGTAGATATTATGAAACATTTAAAGGTGTACTTTGCAGAATGCATATATACACCTAATTTATGGCCATTAAATTAAGATTGTTCAAAATTTTCAATATTGTCATACATGTTTTTAGTAAAATTGAAGATATATGAAAATTGTATGATATTATATTTATATATTCATATAATAATAAAGTATATAGTATAGGTACAACAGCTTCTGATCATTGAGGATTACTAACAATTTTTAACATTTTACAGGTTTTAAGTAAAATTGAAGATATGCAATAATTACGTAATATTAAATAATTATAATATTAAAATGATGGCAATTATTAAAAGAATTAATTATTATTAAAAAGAATCAATTATAATAGAAATAGAATTTACAATAGATTGAGATATGCATTTAACTTTCGCAAAACGTATTATATATCTTTATCCATATATCTAAGTTGTTGAAAATTTTCAGCCGATAGAATTCATCTTATCTACAAATTCTAATCGCTGTAAAAAAAATTTCGTTCGTCCACAGCAGTTAATATATGAAATTAAAATTCCTTTGGCGAAGCTAATTTCAAACGTTAATTCTGCATGTTATGTCTTCATTCTAATCTTCATTCTAATTTCAATCATTCCTCCATTCCTACTAACCTTTGGTGACACTGCGAGGGCCGAATCTGTTCTTGAAGTTCGCGCAACCATCGCAGTTCCTCGCGTGCTTCTTCGAGCAGAGCTTGGGCATCTTCGGCACCCTGGACACCGGCGTGATTCTGAATTTCGAATTCGCCGGCTCTATCCTGTACGCGGCCATGTCGACGATCTCCTGCTGGCTCCTCATCGCCACGATGTACTTGATCGAGTGCGATTTCGGCAGTATGCGCAGCGCGTTGTACACGTCCGCGTTTCGCATTTCCTGTTTCGAGTTCGCGTTGAAGCGCGGCATCGCGCACCGCTCGACCCCTCGTGGACAGTTCCGTTTGTGAAGGTCGTGCAGCAGCTGGGCCAATTCGACGATCGCTTTGCCGATACCGAGCAAATGCGGCGAATGAATTACGGGGCTGGTCGCTGCCTCCAGGAACAAATCTGGCGAGGAGATCTCCTGCAGTAGGTCCAGGTCGAACGGCGACGTTCGCACCACGTACGAACCTGGAGGGATCACGTCTGAAACAGCGCGAACGTTCGCCGATTTTTATTGCTCACACTTAGATCTCTAAGAAAAAACAAGTGTCTGAAAACTTGGATATTGTTATTACTTGAAGTTAGGAATTTTTTCCACTGCTCGAGTTTCTATTCAGCCTTTTGGAATTTTGTGAAATTATGAAATTAGGATAATAACTTTTTGGATTTGGGAACGATAAAATAATAGTAATAGATGCGTTAATGGGGATATGGTAATTTTTAGTAAGTTAATAAGTAGCTGATTTGAAATTTATTTTTTTAGAAGTAAGAGTGATTCGAAGGGTGATGGAATAGAAATAAGCGATAATGACGATGATTTAATAGTGATAAGTAATTGGTAATTTTTATAATTTCTATTTTGAAATTAAGCAAGTGGCTGTTTAAATTTTACTAGCTACTTTAATTAATATTTACAATATTATTTTACATTGCAATAATCTGTCAAGTTTATCCTTCCCTTTCTTTCGATTCTTGCAGAAACTAGCAAATTCTTATCAAATCATTCAGAATATCAATAAAAAAGATAGAAACTCGAAAATCATTGCACAGGGTGGGCCAAAAGTTTCCTTCCACCTATTTCTTCTTGATAAAACTAATCTTATTAATTTCAAATTAAATTCAAGTTCAAATTTTGTATTATAAATCTTCTATTCTATAAATCTTCTACAAATTGATAAGAAATCACAGTCTCACCGTCGACGTTCGATCCATCGAGGGGCAACGCGATCCACGTTTTCCTCGATCCTTGCATCTTCTCTCCCCTCTCGATCCATTGTCGAATGTCGTTCCTATGTCCGATCGCGGCGATCACGATCTCCGTTTCGTCCTCCTCCAACTGTAAACTGTCTGCGTACTTTTTCACGCAAATGCCCGCCTCCTTCGTTGCATCCAGAAACGAATTCAACGGGAAATCGTGGTTAGTCAGGAGTACGTCGATCGTTTCGAACCTGGTGCTAACGTAGTGTACCATCAGATTGATCAGGGGCCTTGTCAAATTCTGCTCGTTGTACGAGCTGATCGGCAACACGCTGTAATTACGAAGCGGTTCTAAGATCGTTGTGTACTCGCTTGGTAATAATATTCCCATTTCGTAATGGCCGGTGCAGTCCGCGTCTACGGTCGTCTGCAACGCTTGTTTGTACACTGTCATCTCGTCGTTGCACGTGTCGAAGATCTTCAATCCTGAAACGAGACGAGACGAACGTTTCTGCAACTGTTGAACCTTTTTTCTCACAACCGCAGGATCTCGAGAGTATTTTCGGGGAATTTCATTCCACTTAATAATATAAAGCCAAGCGAGAAAGTCTGTTTCAGATTCGAAATTTTATATCTTTTTACAAACTTAACGGTTTGAACAAATTTAGAATTGCTCTACGTAAGTCTAGGCAGGAAGTTTGAGAATTTTATAGTCGAATTTTTGGTGAACTCAAGTAGAGAGTGTTTTACAC